CTCTCTCCCTCCCTCTCTCCCTCCCTCTCTCCCTCCCTCTCTCTCTCACACACACACACACATTCACGCACACACAACTGGCACGCCCGCGTGACAGGGTACTTCAGAGCAAGCTCCAGAAGCGCTTCCCTGCTGCATTTGCTGAAGTGGAGAAGCGCCGTGCCCTCCTCGGCATTTCCGGTGAGGTGTCTGATGACGAGTATTCCCAGAAGGAGGAGGACGAGACTGAGCCGCTGGATGCTTGAACCCCTGTACATGCGTGCAGCCACAGGTGGCCTCTCCCGAAAGCCCGACTTCGTTTGGGCAACCACAAAATATATACCTACACATGCAAATGCATACCCTTCTCGCTCGTCCCGCCCCCCCCCCCCCCCAGAGAAATACCCACTCTCCTCCCCTGCGCACAAAATGAGGGGAGGGGTGTGAAGATCTATATATGTATTTGGAAAAAGAAGAAGGAGCTTGTGTATGTGTGCGTGTGTGTGCCCGCGCGCGCGCGCGCACTTGTGTTGCTCCTCATGCATGCATACGCGCACGTATGAACGTGAGCATACGCCGGAAAGGCTGGCCGGGAGACAATAGCGCCCGTAGGGCCACTTGCACACTAATGGAGGAGGAGACACATCGGAGAGAGGGGGGAGGGGAGGGGGCAGGAGAAGACCACTATCGACAGTGCGCATGACAAGCGCGCACGCACACGCGCATCCGGCAAAAAGGGGATCCCCTTGCGCCCTCCGCGCCCCTTCGCCCATTACCACATTGGTGGCAATATCATCATTACACGCCGAGATACACACACATACACACATGCAAAGGGGAAGTATCTAGGGGAACGGAGGAAGAGGGAAGAGAAGGAAATGGTGATGACGACGAGGCGCGTGTGTGCGCGCATACGCACACGCACGCACACACACACAGCCAAGACGACAACATACTGAAGAGAAAGCCAGGCAGAGAGCGGAGAGAGAGGGAGAGGGGGAGTGGGTATGTGTGTGTATGCCCGAAATGCTTACTTCTTCAGGTTGCCAGCCTGCGCGGTGGCAAGGGCCGTCTTGATGGAAGCCGGGGCCGCCTTGAAGGCGTCCTCCTGGAGGCGAGACACGGTCGGCAGGAAGGGCACGACCGAGCTGTTGAAGGCATCAGCCGCCAGCACGTGGCGCGGGTCGTCCGACAGGACGAAGGCCACATCCGGGCCGAGATCCAGCGCCGGATGGCGGAGGATGTGCACCGGCTTGCTCGGGGTAGCGCGGGCCAGGATGTCCAGATGCGCCACCGGGACCGGGCGACAGGCCACAAAGGCACCAGTCAGCATGTCGAAGGTGCCCTCCACAAACTCGTCATCCACCAGGTCCAGGTTGGAGAAGGGCCGCAGGGCAGCCTTAGAAGCCAGCGGGGTGCCATCGGGGGTGGCCGGCACACCGAAGTTGTACTTGGCCAGGACCGACGCCGACTGCGGAGTGGAAATCTCCGGGAAGGGACGGCTGGTGCTCGAGTCGAGCAGCGCAGAGCTGGCCTTGTTCTTCTTGGCGGCGGCGGTCTCACGAGAAAGCTCCTCGGTGGAGCGGTACTCGCGCGAGGAGAAGCCCACCTCATTGGCAGCCGGCACCAGCGGCACGAGGGCCGCCGACGAAGAGCCGGCACCAGCGGCACCCGCGCTCGGGGGCACCACCTCGGTGAAGGCAAACGGCACGGCCGTCGACAGGAGGGCACGGCCACCAGCACCACCAGTGGCCGAGGAGGTGGCCGCCAGCACGGCCGCCAGCGACCGGCTCACCGGACCGGTGGCCGCCGAAGACCCGGCGGTCAGCAGGGCGTTGAGCTGCTCGTCGCGCTCGGCCGAAGCCGGCATCTGGGCAATCAACAGGCGAGTGGCCTCAGTGAGCACCGCACGCGAAACCGTATCGCCCGCCGGGAGCCCGGCGTAAGCCTGATCCGACAGAGCCAGGACCTTGTTGACCGTCGGACCGCCGGGGGTACCGCTGCTGTACAGCTGCGCGGTCAGGTCCGCCTGAACGGCGGCCACGGCGGCCTCCAGCTGGTTGCTGGTGGCCATGCGACCAGGCTGCCCGGAGGCAGCAGCCGCCAGCGACGGCACCGCAGCCAGCAAAACCGCCGGCAGACCATACCGGACGTGCGCACCGTCGGAAGTCACGGCACCGGGGATGAAGCGATCCGCAAGCGCAAACCCGGGAACGAAGATCTCCGATCCGTCGTGCAGACGCCGGCCCGGCACCTGGGCCTGGGCCTTGGTGTTGTGCGACGTCAGGATGGCGCTCTGCTGCTTCATGTTGCTCACCTGCTTGGGGGCAACCTGCTTCTCGTGCAGGTGCTTCCACACCGACACCGAGGGCAGCAGGTAGGACGCCTCGCCCGGGGTACGAGCCGCCAGGGCCACGGCCGCCGGGTTGGACAGATCCAGCTTATGCGCGCGCGGATCCGCCGCAACACGCCGGTCAAGGGTCACCAGCTTGAAGTGGCCGGCCTGGAAGCCGACCTCAGCACCGGTGACCGGGTCGAAGACCGGCACACCGGGCTCGAAGGAGCCATCCTTGGCATACCGGCCAAACTCCAGCGGAACAGCCGGACCAGCAGGCCGGCCATCATACAGAGCACCACCGACAAAGGCATCAGCGGCCATCAGCCGAGCGGGGAAGGCATGGCCCTTGTCGCCAACCGGCACATGGACCATCGGCCGGGGGTTGATCCCATGCCGACCGGAAGCCGGAGCCGGGCTGTTCACCAGACGCGGCGCATGCGAGTCACGCACACCGGCCACCTCGGCCGGCGGGGTCAGGACCAGCTCGCTGAGCAGATCATAAGCCGGAAGCGAGGGGAGCTGCACCGCCATGGAGGCACCCTTGGCGACCTTCGGAAGCCCGGTGGCCGGGAGGACCGTGCTGGCCGGGCGAACCATGGCATCCGACACCAGGGAGTTGACGCCGGTATCCGCCGGGAAGGGGCTGACCCAAGGGTCAAAGTCCTCCGGCTGAGGGTTCAGCAGAGGCAGCAGGGTCTCCTGCAGGTTGACGTGAGTCAGAGCACCGGTCGGCCGGGGACCGGTCGGCGCCGACAGGCAAGTCAGGCCAAGCTTGTTGACGCGCGGCAGGGCACGCTCCCGGTCAGTCGGCATGAAGAAGGCAGCCTCGAAGTCGGCATCACGCGAGGCCAGGGCCCCGGTCTGGCCGAGGCGATGCGCCAGCGCGCGGCCAAGCAGACGCTCCGACCGCGAGGGAAGCTTCGCCAGATCCACCTCAGCCAGGTAGCTCAGATCCGAGAGGTTGCGAACCTCCGGTCCGGACAGCTGGTCCAGCAGAGCCTCCACCTCCGGGGCGGCGGCCGGGGGGGCGGCAGCGCCAGCACCAGCGGCCTCGCGCGCGGCGGAGTCATCCACACGACGCTGAAGGCGATCGGCCATGGAATCACTGCGCGCGGCCAGCTCGCGACTGCTGCGCAGGGCCTGGCCCGACTGGAGAATGTCCTCCACCCGAGCGATGCCCATCTTCCGGGCGGCCTCGGCATTGGACCAGCACACATTGTACTTGCTCCACTTCTCGTGATCCTCCACGGTGTGGTCATAAGAGAAGGGGTTCGGCAGGTGGTACATATCCTCAAAGAGGATCTCCCCCTGGGCACCGGCGAGCATGGAGAACTCGGTCGGCGTCATGTAGAAGCTTTCGCGAGGGGCGGCCGCCGCACCGGCATCAATGTGACCAGCGGCAGCCAGGGCATTGGCCACGCTGCCCACCGGGGCCGCGGTGCTCGAGGGCCGAGTCGGCAGCGACCGCGAGCCACGCGGGTCCGCCTGATCCTGCAGCGTCTCAGCCAGCACATCCACCAGGGAAACCGGCTCCAGAGAGAAGGACTCGTCCTCGAAGATGGTCCGATGGTTGAGGATCATATCGCGCACGGAGAAGGCCGGCTGGCTGGGATCAATATCAGCCCGAGGGGCGAACTTATCCAGCGACACCGGCGACTCGACGCCCAGCAGGAAGTGCAGCAGGCTCATGTTACCAGGCATCGGCGGGGCCGGGGCCGGGAGCGGGGCACCCTGCTCGAAGAGGCCGCTCGACTCAATGGCCTGGCCAGTTCCAATGGCCTGCAGGAGGTTGAAGGCATCGCGCACCAGCAGCGGACGAGTATCCGCGGCCACCGTCACCGGCAGCGGGATGTCCGAAGCCAGCAGGGCCGCGAAGGCCGAATGCAAGAACACCGGCGTCCGACCAGCAACCAGCTCCGGGGACTGGCGCTCATACAGGAACTCCAGCAGGGTCATGACACTCTCGGCATAGTCCCCAGGCAGGATGTGGGCCTCCGGGGCATAGTTCTTGGACACGGCCACCAGGGCGTTGATGATGCGCGAGGCCAGGGTAAAGCGCTCGGTCAGCAGGCGGAAGGGCGTCGTCACGCCGCCCATGTAGTCCGGATGCGCGATGGCCATGTGCTGCGGATCATCGACCACCGGACCGGTGTACTTGTCCAGCAGGAAGTCCGTGGCAGAGGCCGTCAGCCGGTCGAAGCGGCCGGCGAACTTGGCCGAATGGCGGACCGCCTCGGCGAAGGTCAGCGACGGCGGCACCATCGGAACCGGGGCACGCAGGGCACCAGACTCGTCAGTCGGCCAGAGGCCATTCTTGCGCGAGTCGGCAGCCCCGGCGCCCGAGGCCGACAGGATCTCCTCCGCGTGGCCGGTGAAGTCCGCGTTGTCCAGATACGCCGGGGTCGAGCGGGCATTGCCGGGCAGACGACCAGACTGCTTCTTGGAAGCATCATGCTCAGCCACCAGACGATCACGCTCCGACTGGGCCAGACCCATCAGGGCCTGCAGGGCCTCATACTGGCGGTTGGTGTCCAGCAGAGCGGCAGCAGTCACCGGGCGATCGTCGCCCGCCGGCACAGGAGCGGCGCCATCGACGCCCCAGCCAGCCTCATCCAGCGGGTTGCCACGAAGCACCCGACCGGCCGAGCCGCGGTCCAGACCATGGGTATCGCCCGTGATGGCGCTGTTACCCAGCACGAGGGCCATCTGCCGGACCGATGCGTCGAGAGTCTCACGACGAGCAAGGGCCTCGCTCACGGCAGCCGTGCGCCGAGCCAGATCCCGAGCCAGGTTCAGGTACAGGCCAAGATCGTCAGACTCGGCGGCAACCGCGGCCAGAGAGGCCAGCTGCGACTGGGCGGTGGTGTCGCCCTTGCCCGTCAGATCCTTCAGCAGGACAGCCGGCACAGGAGCACCCTCGCCCCCGGTCAGCAGGTGGCGCAGAGCACGGGCACGGTCCGTCGGCGAGGTGTACGCCTCGAAGGGCAGAGCCTTGTCCAGCAGGGACACCAGCATGGGGTTGGAGGCACCAGAGCGACGGTTCCACGCGTCGGACCCCTCGAAACGCCCAGGAGCACTGGTCAGGCAATCATTCATGAACCAGTGGTTCAGAAGGTAGTTCAGCTGGAAGCGCTCCTTCTGCCCGAGGGCGGACATCTGCTCGCGGATGGGCCGAGGCGCGGTGACCAGAGTCGGCAGAAGCCACGACGGCGGGGACATGGCCAGCAGCTGGTCCTCACTCTCATCGACGGACTGGGCACCAACCAGACGCTCCATGAAGGACAGGAGCGTGTCATCGGTCACGCCATCCAGAAGCCGGTTGAAGACTTGGATATCCTCGAAGGCAGCCTCCTCCACATGGGCCAGGTGGGTGGTATGCGCAGAGCCACTGGTGGAATGCAGGTCATCGAAGACCGTCACCAGGAAGGGCAGCAGACGCTGGAAGGTGGCCGGGTCATGGCGCGGCGCCTCACGGCGGAGGAACTCCACCAACGACTTGCGAGTGTACGCGGGCTCGGTCGAAGAGCTGGACACCTCCTTGAGGGTGGCGTCCAGATGGTCGCGCTCCTCCAGGAGAGCCGCACCACCCTGGCCAAAGATGGCCGCACGGCGCATGGCCTGCTGGAAGTGCTCATCCTCCCCATACCAGAGGTCCTGCTGGTCGAAGGAGGAAACCGGAGCATCACCATCAACAGCCGGCTCAGCCCCACCAGTGGCCTCCCCATCGGCAGGCAGGTCCAGACGGGGATCCGGAATGCGGGGAGCATCACGCAGACGGTACGGCGCAAACGGATCGTACACACCATCAGGCAGGCCGAAGGAGTGTGACCGGGCAGTCAGCGGCACCTCGCCATCCTCCAGAGCAGAGTTGTAGTTCCAGTAGGGGTTGGTACCGGGGCCGGTGCCGATGGCGGCGGAAGTGGCCTCGGCCTCGGCATCGATCTCCGAGTTGGCCGCCGCATTTGGGCGAGCCAAACCGCTGAGATCGGCACGCTCGACCGCCAGATCACGAGGGACGCCGGCATCAGTGCCAGGACCCGGGCGGAAAACCAGGCCGTCATACGTGTAGTCCCCGAAGGAGGTGGCGGTCAAGTCACCAAGAGGAGTGTCACGCGCGGGCCAGATGCCATCCGGAAGCTGGAGGAAGTGGAAGCTGCCCAGCACATGGTTGGCCTTGAGCGGGTTGCTCTGAATCACAAACTCATGCGGCTGACCGAGCGGGCCGTAGGTCGACATATCGGCCGAAGCAAGGTTCACCTGCTGGAAGGCACCATTCGACTCGGGGCGCGGAGCCGAGCTGAAAGGAGCCACCGGCTTGGAAGCCAGGTACTCGTAGAGCTGCCCCATCTCACGAAGCCACTCGGCGAAGTCCGGGCCCTCGCCAGCCTCCTCCGGGAACTCGCGGTAGTGCTCCAGCACGTCGAGCACATAATCCAGGGCCTCCTCGCGCGCGGCCGACTCGTCGTCATCCTCCACATCGAAGTTCGGCGGGTAGTGGATGCGCTGGGACTCCGGAGTCTTGGCGGCCAGGTCCTTCAGGAAGGCGATGGTGGCCTCGCGCCGGGCACTGGCGGACTTGGACTCGGCCTTGCCCTTCTTCTTCTTGGAGCCGGGACCGGTGGCGACAGTGGCCACCTCCTCGGTCTCGGAGCCCGCGGCCTCGGACAGACCACCACGCGCCAGACGAATGGACAGGCTGGTCTTGTCCATGTTCTTGAGGAGGCGCTTCTGGGTGCTGTTCAGCTTGTGGCGCTTGTGCACGCTGGAGTCGGAGACGGACTGGTTGTCATGCGAAGAGGTCACATAGTCCAGCTCGTTGGGGACACTGGAGCCGGGCTCATGCTCGAGCATGCGCCCGGTCAGCGGGTCGGCACGGGCGTACACCGGCAGAGGGTACTCCTGGAAGTACTCCTCCATCAGACGGCGGCGATACTCGCGAGTGGAGTTACGCCGGGTGTAATAGAGGGCATTGCGCAGGTTGAAGTTCCGCTGGAGCTGCTCCGGAGTTTGGGTCGAGGGAGCCACCGCCAGGGCAAGAGTACCGGCCCGGGGGTTGCCCGAGGTCTTGGTGTAGAAGTAGCTACAGGTGTTGGCCGGCAGGCGCAGACGATGGACATACGTGCGCGTCGGGTCCTCCACCGAGCGGACATTGTTGTAGTCACCGGTGAAGATCTTCATGGCCATGAGGCCGAACTCACGGCGGTCCATGTTCGGCACATTGACACGGATGCACTGCAGGCTCTCCGGCAGGGTGGCCGGGATGCCGCGCGTGCGAGTGTCCATGGCACCGATGACGGAGATGTTGTGCTACAGATATCGAGACAAAGGGAGGAGAAGAGTCAGGGCCGGGAGCAATGGGAGGAGGGGGTTGCGCAAAGTTGGATGGAGAGAGAGAGAGAGAGGGAGAGAGGGAGAGAGAGAGGGAAGAACGCACAGTCTGCTCGTTGCCGCTGAAGATGTTGTGGATGCGGTCAAACTCCGGGGTAGTACCGGTACCGATGACCAGAGGCTTGCCCTGGTAATCGCGGTACTCGAGCTTGCCGAAGAAGGTGTTGGCGCGGTCAATCAGCATGGAAATGCGCTGGCTGTGAAGGCGGCGAACCGAAGGAGGCCCATGACAACAAAGAGCAAGCGGGGAAGAAGGTCAGATATGAGCGGGGCAATCGGGAGAAGGAGGGCAAGGAGGGCAAGGAGGGGGAAGGACCTTCCCTTCCCCGCCCCATACTCGAAAAGGCAGGGCCCGTGGGTGCATGTGTGCGTACCTCTCGGGGAGCTTCTGCGAAAGGGCATCCATGACCACATGGAAGCTGTCGGCCAACTCGATGGAGTTGAAGGACAGGTCGCCGGAGTCCACGCGATGCAGCAGGTCACCAATGTAATCGGCCAGGTTGTCGAAGCCCTCGGTGTTGGCGTAGGTGGTCCCCTCAATCTGGCGAGTGCGCACGAGCGGGATCTGGGCCAGGCGGTTCTCCCCGTTGCCCATCGGGTCGGTGCTGTTCAGCTTGTACATATCCCGCATGATCTCGTAGGCCATGCGCGGGAAGCGGTAGGTGGACGAGCTGGTCGCCACATTGTCCGAGCAGTAGAACTGGTACTTCATGAAGGCGAACTTGTGGGCTGGAAACATGGGAGGGAAGGCCATCACCAGCGCATCGGGACATGGTGGGTGGTCAGACGGCGGTGGTGGAGGGATGGCAGCGGACGGCCGGAGGAGGGCAGAGGAGGTCGGGACTCGGATTGCACGCACGATCGGGGATGTAAACAACCACATCACCACGAGCCCAGGCACGCTGAAGGGCCTGGAAGAGGACGATGGACTTGCCGGAACCGACCGGGCCCTCGAGCATAACACTGCGGTACTGGTCGGCCGCATTGAAGACAGTGGCAGCCGACGGGCGGTAGAGGTACTCCTCGCGGCGAGTGAGGCTCACCTGCAAAGACACATCAAAGGCCAAGCCGACAAGGGAGGGAGTGAGAGAGAGAGAGAAAGAAAGAGAGAAGGGTCAGTATGAGAGGATACATGGCATGGGGGTAGGTCAGGAAGGAAGACACGTACGATCTGGCCGATCGAGCTCGGGTAGTCGCCGAAAGTGGACTGGATAGCCTGGCGGAAGGTGATTGGACCAATCGGCACATAGCTGTAGGTGGGCGGGGTCTCGAAGGACGCCTACATGAGGGAGGTAGGCATGCACAGACAGCCAAGCATGTTAATGTGGGGGTCTCAAAAGCCGGTGCATGGATGAAACCCGAAAGAGTGAAAGAGAGGGAACGGAAACGCACAATGTTCGCGACGAACTGGTGGAACTCCGGGGTGCCGACATCGGGCTCCGGGAGCGGCATCGACTCCTTCGGCAGAATGCGCGAGCCACGGCGCCAGGCAACGGCCTCCTTCAGGTAGGTGGCCTGCTCGGCATTCGGGTAGTGCGGCGACGACAGGGCCACGCCCTCCTCGGTGTCATCAACCTGGAAGGAGGAAGACATGATGTCATCATCACCCTCATCGTCATGATCATCATAGTCGTGATCGCGACCGTAGTAGTCATTGTGCCGGGACCTGGAGGCGAAGCGCCGGCGAAGGCTCGACGGCAGATCATCCACGGAATCGGTGTCGGCCACCGCGAGCAGACGCAGGGGGTTCAGGAGAACCGAGCCCCGGGAGAAATCTTGGCAGGGGGGGGGGGAGGCGCAGGTTATGCTGGTCAGAAGGCCGAAGAATGTCGCTAGATGGGGAATGCGGGGAAGGTCAAAGCAGTAGACGGGGAATGACGCACTGGAGGTGGCGAGGCGCGAAAGGCGAAACATCGCTGCAATCGGAGGGGGGAGGTCGAGAGGACGCTACACACACACACACACACACACACGGGCTTAGGAGGGGAGGGGAGAGAGAGAGGTCCGAGGGTGGGGTGGAATACACCCGCTACACACACGCGCTCTCGCAATCACTACTCTCGCGAGACTAAGTCAGCCGCTGGAGCTCACGAAGGAGGAGGGGGCCGAGAGGCAGGGGGCGCAGAGCCTCGCAAGAGGGCTGGCTTCCCGCAAAGATCGAACGGACGGGCGCGAACGAGCGACGTCCGGGGAGCGGGGGGGCGGCACACAGCGCACGGAGCGTGGAACTGGCTGCGCGGGGAGGGAGGGGGAGGGGTGGAGGCGGTTGGCAAGACCGTGGACTGTGCGATGGAAAACAGGGGAGGGGGAGAGGGAGCAGGGTGGAAGGCGAAGGTCAGAGGAGGGGGGGGGGGAGATCCTCGGAGAGGGAGGGGCGGCAAGTGAGGGAGGTGCAGCAAGGAGGGAGCCCTTGTCCTTCCAATACATGCGGGACAAAATGAAGGAAGGAAGGCAGTGGTGGAGGCAAAGAGGAGGAGGAGAAACCAAGGGCAGGGAGAAGAGAGACAGAGAGAGAGAGAGAAAGCGAGAGCGAAGGAGGGGAAGGGGAAGGGGGAGGGGGGGGAAGACGAGCTCCGTCGAGTGACGCACTCTCTCGGGAAAGGTGGAACTGCCATCATTGGTCGGGATGCACAGGGGCGCCGAAAAAAGCCGGCTCGATGGTGTGACGAGACTGGCGGGAGGGAGGCCAGAAGGGGGAGGGCAAGGACCTGGTGGTGTGCGGGGGATGAACTGGAGCCTGCTGGGGGGGGGGGGGGGGGCGAGCGCGTGCACACGCAACACCGAGCCATCTTCGTGGGGAACTGGCCAGGCCCCCTGGGGGACCTGGGGACCGGGCGTCGGGCGGCCATCCTCCCAGGTGGGCACCCAGGGTGCGGATACGAAAAAAGAGAGCCCAAGGGAGGCCCTCCCGTTGCAGGGGGGGGAGGGGGGGGGGGAGAGCACATGTGGGGCCGCGGCGCCTCCCCCAGAGCCAGGCCATGGGCGGGGGGGGGGGGGGAAGTAGCCAAATGAGCCGAGCCTGGTGGCAATTCGCGCTAACCCTGGGGACGCGACTGGGCTCTCATGGTCCCGGGCTCCCCCTCATGTCCCCTTCCGGGTCCCTCGCCCGTGCGCGAACTGCTGGCGTCTCAGCACGAATGTGGGAGAGGAGGAGGGTCATCCGGGAGAGGCCGGCGCGCGCATACACGCACCGAACGAAGAAAGGCGCCCTCCGCCCAAGGGGGGATCGTCCGATCTGGCGGTTCTGGTTCAAAGACCAAGGACGCGCCTGGTGCAGTACCCGGAGCCGCATTGCCCTAGCCAGCCCAGGGTGCCTCTCTCTAGGCTCGTCCCCGCCGCCGCATCTCCGCATCCCGCCGGGCCATCTTCCCGTAGGTCCCTGCACCATTCTGGTGTGGACCCTTGCCGCGCTGGCGCATCTCTCCTCGGTGGCCCTGCGGCCTGGGACGCCCGCACCTTTGGTGCCAACGAAGAGCAGCAAGTCCCGGCCCGCCAGGATCCTTTCGCGACCTAAAGAACAAAAATAGGAGGACCAAGTGGGGGGGGAAAACCCTCGCCCTGCTGTTCAAGCCTCAAGGCCATCCTGCCCGCCCACCCGCCGCCGCCATCACAACCATGCTTCGGGCAGCAGACCGAGCCCACGGCTGGGTTTATATTTTAATGGCGTTTCGGGGCGAATGTTTCTAGAGGACCAAATGGTCTTTCTTGTGTCGTGTGATTCCGGGCTCCCGTGTTCCTCTCCCGCGCACATTGCGACGGGCAGTTCCTTTCGCCGCAGCCCTGGGCTGGGCACTCACGCGCATGCTCGGCCCCC